ATCCCATCTGCGCCCCAGGCCCCTTGCTCTGCGTCTCCTGCTGTCCTTGCTGCCGCTCCTCCTCCCGATCCAGATGCTGCAGTCGCTCCTCCACGTCCTCGGGGATCTTCACCTCCAGCAGATTCTCCATCCCGGGCTCTGGCTCATCCCCAATCAGCACCTGCTCAGGGCACAGCAGCAGGGCTTCAGAGGGGAAACAAGCCACCAAGTGGCCAGGGACCGGCCAGCAGCGCCCTGCTCCCTACCCGCACGGACCCCCTTCTCCTCCAGCTCCCGACGCAAAAGGCATCCCCTGCAGAACCCACTGTGCAGTACAATGACTGCACCACCATGTGGCAACATCGAGCCCCTGCTTGTCTGCATTTGCCCGGCAGAGACCGGACCCCACCCTGGAGTTTAATAGAGAGGGGGGCCCCAAAGACCCCAACCTGGGTGGGGCCCAATTGCCCATGCCCCCTGCCCTGCAGATGCTGAGCCACATGGACACGATGGGCCTCTGCCCCTACCTGGATCAGCTTCTCGCAGGCAGCCTGGACGTCGGGCTCCGTCTCCCACTGGTGGAGCTCCCGCACGACTAGGTAGGTGCCCTTCTCCTTCACCAGCTGCCGGCCGGCCTTGGTGGCGGTGAGCTGCGTGGGAAGCAAACCAAGGGGAGGGGCCAGGCCCCGGATCAGACCCAGCCACAGCCAGCGTGGGCAGCATGGGGAGGAGCAGCGTGGGCCCAGCCAGCCCCAGCTGTTTCAGAGGGAGGCCAGTGTTACGGAGTGTCGGGGAGTCAGGCCCTACACCCCTCTTCCTGCGATTCACCGTGACTCTCAGCCAGCCAGTAAAACGGAAGGTTTACTGGACAATAGGAACGCAGTCTACAGCAGAGCATGTAGGTACAACCAGGACCCCTTCTGGGGGGTTCAGGGAGCTTAGACCCCAGCTTGGGGTTCCCTGCGTTGCACCACCCAGCCCAAACTGAAAACTACCCAAATCCCTCCAGCAGCTTTCTCCCCCCTCCCCTCTGCTCCTCCTCCCCTTTGTTCTGTCTCCCGGGCAGAAGGTGTCACTTCTCCCAACCCCCCTCCTGGCTCAGGTAGCTCAATGTAACTCCCAGGCTACATTCCCAGGTCAAATCCGCCCGTCACAGGCAGTTGTGGGGAAGCCCCTTCCTAGCCCCATCAGAGAGTGGCTGGCTCCTGCCCTGCAGCAGCCGGGGTCCTAACCCTCCAGCGTAAGTGGGGCTGGGGATCCTGAGAGCAGGGAGGGTCGCACGGATAGGGGGCAGCAGCAGGTGGGAAGGGGTGGGGGGGCCCTCCTGCAGGAAAGGGGGCATCTGCAAAGCAACCCTCTCTGCCCCAGCCGCCTTGTCCCCCCATCCCATCCCGGCCCGTGCCCCCCTCCCCCAGTGTTGTACAGCAACCCACCAGCATGACTGCCTCCAGCAGCATCTTCCGGATGTCAGGGTCCTTCTCCCGCTGCTTGTCCTGCGGCAGGTACTGCAGGTCCACGGGCAGCCCTGGGGCAGAGCCAGGCAGGGGCGTTAGAACAGGGCACACGGATCTACAGGCTCCTGCCAGAAAACTGCAGAGCCCCCCACCCCCACCCGCCACTCACTTTACCACCCCCCAGCAGAGGGGAAATGAGAGCAGAAAACAATTGAATTCTTTGTTCCCGGCTGCACAACTCTGCCACCGCTAGACCCCCCCCCCCCAAACACTAGTCCCCAAAGCCCCCCTCCTAGCGTCCCCCCTCCTCACTTTCCATTTCCGCTTCAGGGAATTCCTCAGGGCCCGCCAACGGCAGCAGGAGGAAGGGGAGCAGGTCCACCTCGGCGCCTAGCAGCCACTCATGGTACTCTGGGAACAGACACCCACACACAGGCTGGGATCAGAAGAGGGCTCAGAAATCACCAGGAGATAGGGCGTAACAGGGGGAGTGCACCCATCGGGGCCTTGCAGTGAGCCCGCCAGACAGGAAACTTCACGGGCCATACGGGGGCGCTGCCAAGCAAAAGCACAAAGCCCGGCCAGCTCCTCTGAGAGGAAAGGGACATGCAAGCCCTGATTGGGGCCTGCGTTGTGCTGGGGAGCCAGAGGCCAGGCCTGGGCACAGAAGCCAGAGCTCCCGCACGGGAGGGGGGTTAGAGCCTGGAGCTCTAAGGCACAGGCTGGTTCAGGAACCAGCTGATACCAAGAAGTCCACTCAGGGCTCGGCGGAGGCAGTGAAGCCAGCAGGATCCCAGGGGTGAGGGACACTAAGTAGCCCCCCAAATGCAAAACACTTACTGTACTCGAAGCAGCAGTTCCTGAGTGTCCCGATCACCCCTCCTCGGCGGATGGCGGAGGCCTCATACTGCGTGTAGGGCAGCAGCCTCTGTACCACGCACCTGGGCAGAGGAGGGGCCCTTGTCAGAGATGGGCATGCACACGCTGGGCCCCCGGCGTGTGCACGCCCTGGGGCATTGCAGTGATGCAGCTGTGTCAGTCCCAGGACATTAGAGAGACAAGGTGGGGGAGGGAATATCTTCGACTGGGCCAGCTCCTGTTGGGGAGAGAGACCCACTTTCGAGCTACCCAGAGCGTCCTGCCGGCAGAAGATAGGACCTCCCCCCAACCTTGTCTCTCCATTGCACCAATGGATGAACAGTCTGACCTGGGGCAGCTCTGAGCCCACGCATCCCCCCGCCCGCTGTCACGTTCCCAGCTCGCAGGCCACTTCCGAGAGCGCCAGCACCCACCTGGATCTGTCCAGCAGGAACTCCCGGGTCTCCGGCAGCTGAGTCAGATTGGAGAGCAGGGGGCCCAGGTAGTGCAGGGCTGCCTTCTTGTTGTAACCTTCAGTGCAGAACGCCTCCACCACCCGGGCCAGCCCCAGCCCCTCCTGCTGCACGGCCTGGAAAACCTGGCGGCAGGTGCCCTCCTCCCGGGACAGGTTGGAGAGGAGGGTGCAGACCTGGTCGGCGAAGGCGTAGCCCGGGTCCAGCAGGCGGTGCAGGAGCACTGGCAGCTCCTTGGCCACGACCCCGTGGGTGGCCACGGCCACAGACAGGTTGATGAGCGAGTGGTAACTGTCCTTCACCACGGCCAAGGAGCGGTCACCCGTCAGCAGCAGCAGAGCCTCCAGGAAATCCGGCCTGCCTGCCAGCAGCGTCCGCCCCTCCACATTGCCCGTTAGCCCGAGGATGTAGCCTGTGGCCTGGCCCTTTAGATCAGGCCGGGTGTCCAGGTGGAGGAACTCCAGCAGCTCTCTGGCCTGCTCCTCGTCCATGCTGGGGCAGGAGGCCTGGAGGCGCCGCCCTGCAGACAAAGGGACCTGTCAGGTGGGTGGAAGGGGACTGTTGGCCCCTCACTAAAACTCAGTGGGGGGGTTGGTTGCTAGCTCCCAGTACCAAAAGAAAGGGGAAGGGTGGATGGGAAACCAGGACCCTGAGACTGACAGTCCCCAGGGGCAATGGGGAGAGGCCAATGCTCCAGGTCAGCCTGATTGATAGGGCGGGTGGGCTAATGGGGCAGGGGGTCCCATCTTCCCTGTGAGCTGGAATTGCCTGGGCCACAGCGGAGCAAGCGAGCTAAGGAGAGAGCAGGAGCCTGAGCTGAGGAGCAGAGCTGGGCCAGCCAGAGGGACCCAGAGAACCAGATCCGTGCTGGGAGCAGAGCTGTAGCAGCCAGAGGGGCCAGAAGCGAAGCCCAAGGAGCTGGGGCAGAGTGGGGCTGGAGCAGTCCGGAGCCGGGTGCAGTGAGCAGCTCGGAAAAGCGAGGGGGGACCCTGGGCAGTGAGCCCAGCGCAGGGGGATTCCCCCAGCCAAGAGGCCTTGCAGGCCAGACGAGGGGCGCTGGCGCTTTACAGCGCTGCAGCTTGCTGCGCTCCGGGGGGTGTTTTTTCACATGCTGTAAAGCGCCAGTGTAGACAAGCCCCAAGGGTCCGACCCGCAGCATCCCTGCAGCACAGCCCAGGCCTAGGACACGGGAGGAACAGACTGTGAACTGCCCTGGCACGCCAGAGACGCGGCGATGTCCCGGTGCCACAGAGCGGGGTGACGGGTTTTCCTTTCACCTCTCCCATGTTTTCCTTATTTGTTTTGTTAATTGGTTACTGTTTAATAAATCGTGTCGGCTTCGAGCTGTATGCAGTGACCAGTGGGTCAGGGAAGCGCCCCGTGCAGAGAGCACCCGGATGGGGACACCCCGGCCCCGAGTGGCCATGACAAGCTGGGGGGCGAGCCCCCAGGAACGCTGGGCCCCGCCGTGCCGGGGTTACGGGGACCCTGCCCCACAGGGGCGTGGAAGGGGAGCCCTGGGGGGGCAGGCGGCTTCTGGGGACAGGGAGCGGGGCTCGGCTCCCGGCCCCAGCCCGGCTCACCGGGGTCGTGTCTGAGCCAGGAAAGGGCCACACAGGAGCGGCTCGGCCCCGGGCCGCTGGACACGGGGCCGGGCCGCCAATGGGACCCAGGAGTCCTGGCTCCGGGCCCTGCTGCGCGTCACCCGGGGCGGGGCGGGGCCCCCCTTGCCTGTCCCCGGCGCCCTCCGGGCTCAGCTTCGCGCCGCCACGTGCGTCTCTCTGCGGCCGGGGGTCCGGTCCCGGCTGGTTCCCTTTGGGCGGACTGAGCATGCGCACCCGGACGGAGCATGCCCAGTCACCTTCGCTGACGCCACTGCCCTCTCTCTGCCCTCACTTCTGCTGCCTCCTCTTGGGGAGGGTTCAAAGGATTCGGGGGGGGGCAAATCGCCGCGGGGAGGGGGGGCGGTGGGGGGCGGGCCAGCGGGGGTGCTGCTAATCGGGGGGGGGGGGGGGGGCAGAGGCGGTTTTCGTTCTGCTCCCAGGACGCTGCATGTCAGCCCCCGAGCAGGGGGCGGGTTCCTGGGACTGGGGCTTAAAGGCACAGGCCTCCGATTCCTCGCCTGTCACAGCGTAATCACCGCGGGGCCTCTCCAGCCGAGACAAGTGTTGCAGGGCCAGGCCGCCCGGGGGGGGGGGGGCAAGTGGGGCAATTTTCCACAGGGGCCCCCACGAGTATGTCGGAGGCTGCCCCCGCCTCCGTCTCCCCCAAGCCCCCGTGTCTCAGCACGCCGCGTGCGGGAGCGGCCCTGGCGCTGCAGCGCCGTGGCTCCAACGCTGTCCGGGGCCGCTCCGGGACACTGAATCCTCTGGGCAGGGCCACGCTCCTGCTCCAGCCAGGAGACTGAATGCGGTGAAATATCGTACAGACCCTCCCTCCCTCCAACTCTGCCTCTCACATTTTGAATATGTACAAGTGTCTTCTATCAGTCTCGATGTCTATATGAAATCACTGCAGCTCATTTCTCTTATATAACGTGCTGAGTTGCTAATTCCCTCCCAGAGCCCACATATCCGCACCCCCTCCTGTACCCCAATCCCCTGCCCCAGGTCAGAGCCTGCACCCCTCACTCAAACTCCCCATAGCCTGCAACCCTCCTGCATCCCAGAGCCTGCACCCCAAAAAGGGCTGGATTAACCTCTTGTGGGCCTGGTGCTGACCGTATTTGTGAGCCCCCATGGAGGAAATGGGGACATGGGGGAAATGGGGACATGGGGCAGGGGGGCAGAGTCCTCAGAGCGACGGGCTGGCCGGGGGCAATGGGAGATGAGATGGGTCATGGCACGGCAGGGACAGCCCCGTTCCACCCAGCGCAGTACAAGGGCACTGTTTACAAACCGGGAGCTGCCAGACGCACACTGGCCAGCCTGGCCCTGCGCTCCCATCGTGCTTCTTCCCCTTCGGGGCAGTCCCATGCTGCACCATGCACCCCCCTGCCCAGCACCCCTCTGACTCCCTACGCCCAATGCCACACCACCCAGAGACCCCCACAAACCCCCATGCCCAGTGCCCTCCCACAGACCACTCCCCCACCCACTCAGACCCCCCCCATAGATCCTCTCACTGCCCAGTGCCCCCTAGCTGGAGACCCCCCACAGTCCTCCCACAACTGCACAGTGCCCTGCACCTCCCCGCCCAGAGCCCCCCCACAGATTCCCTCACTGCCCAGTGCCCCCCACCGCCCCACTGCCACAACTGCACAGTGCCCCGCACAGACCCCCACACTTCCCAGCACCCGACACACACAGATCTCCCCAACTGCACAGCCCCCCAACACACACAGATCTCCCCAACCCTCACTGCACAGCACACACCCCCCCCAGACCCACTAGAGACCTACTCTCCCACACCCTAACCCCCAGCCACAATAGCCGGCCCTGATGGGAGGTGACTGTGTCTGCCAGGCTGAGCCGGCAGCGCAGCCAGAGCTGGTCCTGGGGCAGGATAACTCCGGCCCCTTGGGGGTGCAATCAGTCAGGCTGGAGCAGGAGTGGAGCCTACCCGGGCCAGGCACCCTCAGGACCCACATGCCTGGTAGGACCCAGCTGAGCCGCCGCCCCCTGTGACTGGCTGAGACTGGCCCAGCCTCTGCACCAGTCCCAGGTGGCTCTTTCCCTGGGGAGGCAGGTGGGGCCCCACAGGTCCCAGGCAGTGGAGACAGCTCAGAGCTGGAGCAGTGCTGGGGAGTGGGGCAGATCCCTGGGACGTGACTCCCGAGATCCCACCCACACCCGTTGGCCCCGTGGCCAGCAGCCCTGCCGAGCCCACATGGTGGCCCCCAGCTGCTGGGTGATGAGCCCCCTACAGCAGCGGCATAGCCAGGTTCTCACATCAGGGATTTCTTGTGTTATGTCTAGTGAGTGTTTAATATAAAAATCAGGGAGTAGGGTTACAATGTTCTAACAAGAGAGTGTGCTATTGCCACTATCCAGTCAACTTGCACACTACTGTAATTCAGAGAGAGAGAAAGGAAAAAGCTGAATTTAGAGAATAATTATTAACCAGATTCTTAGTTATCCACCAGCCACTGTGCTCCAGTCCCTAGCACAAAGCACCATAAACCCAGGAGAATCTGGCCAAGAGACCAGTCACCTCAAATTGGCGTCTGCTCCCCCGCCCCCGGTTCCCAGTCACCACTGTCCAGGCTATAGCAATCGAACAATAGATCAATTTTGGGGGGAGGGATAGCTCAGTGGTTTGAGCATTGGCCTGCTAAACCCAGGGTTGTGAGTTCAATCCTTGAGGAGGCCACTTGGGGATCTGGGGCAAAATCAGTACTTGGTCCTGCTAGTGAAGGCAGGGGGCTGGACTTGATGACCTTTCAAGGTCATTTCCAGTTCTAGGAGATGGGATATCTCCATTTCTTCTTCTCTCTTGTCACATTAGCCCGCAGGAAGCAGGTCGTGAGTGTTTTTGACCACAAACCCCATCCCTCCTGATTCGCAACCCCATGGACCAGGCGGGAGCAAGTAACCCAGATGTATTCGTGGCGTCACACCTGTCTGCTCCGCTCCTAGCCAGACCGACAGGCTCTCTGGCCAATCGGTGGCTGCGGTTTCCCAAGGGGGCGGGGAAGAGGCGAGTACCCGGAGGCTGGGGCCCAATCGGCGGCGCCTCGGACCGAATCGCGGCGAAGGGGATTCTGGGGGTTGTAGTCACACGGGGCTGCTTCTGCGCATGCCAAGCCTGAGTCCCCGCCCCGTGCAACGGCCACGGCCCCTCAGAGCCCCGCCCACAGCCGGGCTCCTCGCGCTCGGTTTCGATTTCCCACAACTGGGCGAGTGGGCCGGCGCCCGCGGGGTCCTAGCGCCCCCAATCCCTACTCAGCTGGCGCCCGCGGGGTCCTAGCGCCGCCCTGTCCCCTGCCGGCCGGCACCTGCGGGATCCTAGCACCCTGGTCCTGGCCCCGGCCCCGTGCTCCACACAGCCCCTCTCCCGGGAGACCCGTGCGGCTGCGCTGGTCCAGGGCCAGGGCGGGCGTCGGCTCGGGCACTGCAGAGAGGGACGGGGCTGTGGGGCTGCAGGGGACTCAGGAGGCCCAGCAGGCTTGGGGCCTGAGGCTGCCCTGCTCCACAGCACCTGCTGGCAGCGGCTGCTTCAGTGCCACCGGGGAAGGCCTGGCCGTGACCTGCTGTGAGGCAGCTCCCCGTGCCGGCACCACGCTGCCTCCTCTTCCAGACTCTGCCCCAGGCATGCCAGGCCCATGCCTCAGTTTCCCCTCCTGTCCCATGTCTCTCTTGTCTCAAGCTGTGAGCTCTGTGGGGCAGGGACTGACTCCCCTGGTGTCTGTGCACAGCGGGGCCCTGGTCGGGGTTGTGGCCTCTAGGTGCTACTGCAACAGGGAACCCCCACGCCCTGGGGATGAGCTGGGCAGCTCAGTCCTGTCAGAGCTACTGGCTCTGCCACATTCCCCAGGTCTGCTGGGGTGCTGTGAAACCAGGGCTTTGAGTCCACAGTCGTTAATGGCTGATGCCAGCAGGAGCAAAAACTGAACTGCAGCCCGACGGGGCAGGGACAGAGCCCAGTTCTGCTCAGCCACCGAGTTCCCTGCCTTTGTGCCGTGCCCAGCGCCATGGCCCTGCACCTCCACAGCTGCTGCCTCTACTTTCACTTTCCCTCTCGCTTTCAAAACAAGGGAAGTAAACGGGAAAAGCCTCACACCCAAAGCCAGCCCGACCCTAGAGCGAGTTCAGGGAGGATTGTCACCGCACCAAGTCCAGCAGTGGCCAGGTTGGGGCTCCTCCCGCAGTGCTAACACGGCAGCACGAGCTGCTGGTAAATGCACATTGTGTCTGTTCACTTCATTTCACTGTTGTGAGGACGGGCCCTGGACCCTGGGGCCCTCCCTTGAGAGAAATTATAGACACGACTAGAGTTGGACCAAGAGCCACAGACCATCCCACGGGAAGCTCCCGACTCCGTCCCACTAGGGGCAGAGAAATCTGGGGAGCAACAAGTCTAGGCTGAGGTAAAGGCATTTGCCTGACTCAAGGACCCCCCTGAGGGGGTGGCCAGATTTCTCCTGCATTAAAATAGCCCGAAGTCACTTAAACACTAGCCCCAAAGTAACCCAAGCTGTTTATTGAAACAAACTTTTGTTATTAACACTTTGGTCTGTACAAACAGAAGCTTTCACTAGATACCTAGCACCGATTTGATATTTTTTTAAAGCTACAGGCCCCCAGCAGGAGTTTGTCTACATTAGCAACAAAGCTATGAGATGACAATCGCATTCCAAACCAACCCCCCGACACTGTTATTTGTATCCTGGTTGAGGGTTGGCAGATGGTTCAAACAAAACAGGACGAATTAAGTTGGCAGGCCCCGAACCTGAAACCGCTTTAAACTCACTTCCCAGGTATTGTATGCAGCGGTGTCTCTGTGACGTTATCGACATGAACGGTGACCGTATAGATCATTGTTGCAACCAAGGTCATATAGTGGCACCAAATCTTGTACAAAGGAGGTTAAGTGAGGTGTCTAAGACAAGGTTATGATTTGCTGGTCATGATTATACTATCTGTATGCAGGTATCATGTTTGTATTTAAAGTTATAAGTATTGGCTCTATCCTGTCTGTAGTTCAAATTGTGCTGTGCTTCTGGGTGACACCCCAGACAATGTGGCGTCAGCTCTGCCTAGCCTGCTTGATGGCCCATTAAGGACCATCAGCTACACAACTGACCCATTGAGAGAAGGCAGATATGCCTTGTGACTCAGCAAGGCAGGGAGAGGCCTATGGACAGAACTCTGAGTTTTTTCCAGGCCATGTGCTCGGTGGCTTGTGGTTGGAACAAAGGAAGCACAAGCCACATGGCAAAAGGACTATAAAAGTCAGCTGCATCTTCTCCATCTTGTCTTCAATCCTGCTTCTTACCTCTGGAGGGACTTTGCTACAAACGGAAGCTCTACACAAAGGACTGAGGACCCATCCCAGCTGGGGATGTTCCAGAGACTTGATTTGAACCTGCAGTTTATTCCATCACCGCTACAAGCCTGAACCAAGAACTTTGCCATTACTGTATGTAATTGATTCCATTTAACCAATTCTAGCTCTCATCTATATTTCTTTCTTTTTATGAATTAACCTTTAGATTTTAGATTCTAAAGGATTGGCAACAGCGTGATTTGTGGGTAAGATCTAACTTGTATATTGACCTGGGTGTGGGGCTTGGTCCTTTGAGATCAGTAGAACCTCTTCTTTCTTTTACTAGGGTATTGGTTTTCACAACCAG